GTGTATGTGTGTGAGAAAGAAAGAGAGAGAGAGAGAGAGAGAGTGGGTGTGAATTTTGCTGCAGACACACACTCAAATTCCAACACTCGATGGAGATGAGATCTACCGCCAGTCTCCCGCCGCAAAGCGTTTTGTGCATCTTTGGAAAAACAGCAGATAAAAATAATTACACCGTGAAAAGGGCAATGTAGTGCGTCTCCTCATGTAGATTACTTTATCGATCCACACAGAAATTCCTCTCACACACACTCCACTGCATTAACTTGAGAGTGTGGAGCAGCACTGAGCAGGTGATTTGATGGGCAGAAGTGGCTCCTCCATCAGGCGGACTGAGGCTCAAGTGCAAATCTGAGGGTGAAGTGTGGAGGGTCCCTTTTAACGTGAACTAAATTATGTGACGCTTAAAATATCCGAGCGTGTTTTTTGTATTTCACACGCATGAAATGTACGAAATTAAAAAGCTCATGATGCTACGAAGGATAAATGAGGGCGAAGTGAGTTCCGAAAATCTTTGAATACTGTCTGACCTTACACACACACACACACACACACACACACACACAAGAACTATTAGTATAATCATCATCCAAAACATGCAACAGCAACAGCATGTATGGATCCACAGCACTGTACTCACCTATTTAACCCTTAACACTGAGAAATATTAAATGTAATCAATTTTGTGGGCTGGAGAAATTGTAAGGATCATGGATATTACATCAACTATGACAAAGATGTTGCTTGAGTCTTTAATCCGCGTTAGTAAAATCCCATTAAGACTCAATGGTTGGAAAAGAAATATTGAAATTAGTCCGTTACAAAAAATGTCGAGAAAAAAGAAAAGGGTCCCGAATTTAGAGCAGTTTCTGACAATTGTTAATTATTTTTTGTCATTTGGAACCAAATCCAGGATTTAAAGGGTAATTCCACAGGAAAAACAGCTACATCCAGAGTGGCTGCTCAAAAGTCCCACTTCCCATTATCTTCATGTGATGAAGAGGAGAGGCATTAAATCTCCTTCAGGAAAAAAAGTGGAAATATAAAAGATGAGATGAGCAAGGAAATGAGTTGTGTGGTTTGCTATGCATCTGTCTATCGTTGTGCCTTTCTACAGCCAACACACACACACACACATACACACACACACACACACACACACACCAAATTACTCAGATACTTTGCAATCAGCTTCCAAGTCAACCTGTCTTCTATTTTTTTTTAAAAAGCAAAAGATCGTTCATGAATAAACTGCCTCTTGTATTCAAGCTGATGAGATGAGAATCACTACGTCACCAGAACGCAAAATAAAAAGCTACTCCTCTCTGATGCAGGCGAGTCAATGACGTGTGAAGTGAGGACATTTTTTAAACAGCAAATTCAAAATTGAACAACAAATAAATGAGTGGATCGATTCAGAGGGGGGGGGGGTGATGGAGAAAAAACTGATACGGAAAGAGATGAGGGAAGCTTGAAGCAAAGTGAGTGATAAAAAAAAAAGTGAAAAATTATGGTAGAGGGGGAGAAAAGGGGGAAAAAATCCTCTGGATGATGAAGCCAGGAATAGTTTTTTTTGGTCCTAGTCCATTCTCTCTGAGTGCTTGTGTGTGTCTGTCTGCGGGAATGAGAGTCAGTTCAGGAGGATAGAAGACAGAGAGCGAGGGAGGGAGAGAGCAACAGAGAGCGAGAGAGAGAGAGAGAGAGAGAGGAAAGAGGGCAGAGGAGTGTATAAACACAGATGACACCCCGACAGAACGGGCGAGTGTCGGCTCAGATACACTTCGCAACAACGGTGAACTGTCGCTCGTGAATCGGGCCTTTGCTCCGTTTGACCTTCACCTGAGAAAACATCGAGCGAGGAAACTGAAAACACACCTCCGCTTGCCAATAATGTGCATTTCCTCTACTGGACGGATGTGGACGTCTCTGAATGGGCATGACAGCGAGGGAGGGGATGTGTGAGGAGGAGGAGGAGGAGGAGGGCGTGTGATAACAGGGGAGTTTCAGACATTTTAATGGAGGGAGAGACTTGTGTGCAACAACACAGAAATGACAAGAGAGTCAAAATGTGGTTCCATGATGACGCCTGGAGGAGATGCTTGATGAGTCACTGTGGTCTCAGGTTGACAAGAACAAAAAGATTTTAAAAGACAAGTGAGAGGACACAGGTTATAGTATGTGAGGGGGGGGGGGTGACGTGACGATGACATGGGATGAGGCAACAATCAGCTGAGAGCCGGAGGGGAGGGGAGCCAGAGATTGTAGGCCAGCGTGTGTGTGTGTGTGTGTGTGTGTACCCCACACAAATCCCCTCGCAAACACAGAAAAGGAACAAAGACTTTGAGACAGACACTAAATAGACCTACCTATGTTTAGATTTAAGAATCGCCCCAAAAAAGATGCATAGGATGGTGGGAGGAAAAAAGAGAAGGGGGGAAAATAGGAAAAGGTACAAAAGTGAAAAAGGCATAAATAGAAAACACAAGCAAGCCAATTAAAATGTCTCTATTCAAGCTTTTTTTTTCTTCTTAAGTAAGGAAATTAAAACAGTGGTGGAGTGGAGAAGTAGCCAAAGTTATGGGTGGAGAGTGAGTGGAGAGGTGGGGGGGGTGAGGAGAAGGAGGGAGGCGGTGAAGGGAGGAGGGAGCGTGGGCTGCACGGGGATAGAAAAGGCTGGAAGTGATAGGAAGGGAGGATGAATGAAGAGGGGGAGAAAAAAAAGAGGATAAAGGGGGGGGCAAAAAAAAATCCCCCTCCTCTTTCTCTTTCTCTCTTTCTCTGTCTCTCTGCCTCTCTCTCTCCCTCCTTGTCTGGCTCATAAATAGAAGAAATTGTTGACCAGGTAAATGGCGAAATAGATGAGAAGACAGAGGACCGAGAGAGCGAGCAAATGAAAAGGTAAAGCACCTCCCAGCAGCGCGATGAGGAAAAAAAAGAACAAAAAACGAAAGATAAAAGCAATACTCCAGTGGCCTCCGTTGTCTCCAGTCTATATGTGGAAGGGGGGATTGGCTGTTGCCAGTTGTTCCCCTTCCCCGGCTGCCTTCTGCTTTCTTCTTCTGTCTCTCCTCCCAAAAAAGACTTCCCATCCAGATGACAAAAGCCACAGATGTCCTCCTCTCTGTCTCAACTCTGGGCTGACAGGACGGACCACTCACACAGGTTAGACATTGTTGCAGCAGCAACGCACAGTATCATCAATATTGCTCAGAGGGAGAGAGAAAAGAAAAAGGCATTGGGGCTGCTGCTAGTCAAGCACTGCCTGCCTCATGAGGAAGGATACTGAGCTGGAATTGCTCTGTCTCCCCTCTCCCGCCCATCCCTGCGAAAAGATGGGAGGAAGGGAGGTGGGCCCACTCGCTGCATTAGTATTCATTGAAAGAGTGTGTGAGGAGAGAGAGAGGGAGGAGGAAGAGGAGGAGGAGGAGGAGGAGGAGAGGGGTGCCAACCAACAAATGTCGAGGAACCAAACCGGTGTGCAGAACTGATAAGAGACTGGCTCCCCCTAGAGTCAATTATCAATACACAGGCTCAAATAACTGGAAACTGTGGGAGGGAAGTGCTGGCCCCTGTGAAAAGACACGGGGCCCTGTCTTCAGGACGTCCAAAAGCCAGTTACTTTAATATCTGAGGGACACAAATCTACGCCTGAGCTCAGCAGCGTCACTCCTGCAGCACGACATCGCTGCGAAAAAAACTTTAAAGGTCAAAATTGAGCCCGAGCTTTTCTCTGCATGAAGAATCTTTAATCCTGCTCTCACTCTCCAAAAAAAAAAAAATAGACAAAGGATTTAAAGACTTTCCGATCACGTCCACCGTGTGAGGTTTTTTTTCTTCAATCTGCCCAAAGCGAAACTCAGTGTTGCTATGGCGACAGATGACCGTTTCCAAAGTGTCCAAATCAAAGCGATACGGGGTCAAAAGCACCCTTCAAAGCTAAGACTGCAGAGTATCTCCACTCTCGTCTACTCCGAACGTCGTGGAGCAGATTTACTGAAGTCGTTTCATTTCACTGCGTCGTGTGTGATAGAGGTTTGAAACGTATCCCCACAACCTGCGCTGCAATGCAGGAGTTGTTCTGTTGTATCTATAATAAAGTGGTTATTCATAGTACAAGGAAGAAAGAGACAGAGGGACGCTGAGAGACGCTGACAGATCCTGAAAGGAAACAGGATTACCAATCCCCACAGTCCCCTCCGTCTCCTCTGCTGACCTGTTTATCAGACAAACTCAAGCCTGGTTTGATTCACAACGACAGGTGGACTGGTGCACGACCGAGGACGCAACATTTTGGGGCAACTCCTGCTTGAATAAAGAAAAGATCAAACTTTATTGATCCCTCGATGGGGGAAATTCCTTTGTTACAGCGTCAGAATGAGGGAGACAAGAGGATAAAAGTACAGAAGGAGTCAACAATATAATGATAACAATAATACATGCAGAGCATGTACATAATATACACCTTTGACTACAGACGAAGTATAGTTTGTATAGAAAAATAAGTATTTCAGTGAAGTGCAGTGGTACAAGATCGTGAGGTGAGACTGAGAGAGGCACAATACTGACACCGGTCGCGTGCAGAAGATTCCGATGTGCAAGATAGTGTGAAAAACATAGTCGGACATGAAGAAATTACCTCATTGTGAAGATGATGGCGAGGTCCACGTGCATGAGGAGGAGTTCTTGCAGCTTTTCCCAACATGCAGCACAGGGATGATCCTGAGACACGTTCAACAGCCTCTGCTGGGGTTTTAAACACCGTCCAGACATCTGTGAGAGGAAAACAACACAACACAGAGTCAGTGGCCTCCGGGCCTCTGCACCTGAACGCACCCTCAGCAGTGACTGAGGAGAAACCAGGTGGTTCGTAAAGTCACGGGACAGTTTATACTTTATTCACACAGTACACGATGACTGTGTGTGTTCCATATGAAGTGCTCGCTGCCTTCACACGGTGGAGTCTCAGGTGAGGAACACGTGCTTGTGTCACGTCGCCTCCCTGTGGTGGAACCGGCTCCATCACAAGCGACTGTGTCGGTGATGGATTAACGATGCCTGGCGCCACCAGTCGAACACCGATAACATCGCTGAAAACATGGCGGCGCTGTCGTCCCCGCTGCGAGTGTGTCGCGGGATCCTGAAGGAGCTGCGAGCCTCCATGGGCCAGGGCTACAGACAGTCTCTGGCCTACAACTATGTCCTGGACCAGTTTCGGAAGAACAAGGCGAGTTTGTCCTCGGATACGATCCGGCTAGAGTTAGCCGGCTAGCATCACAAACCGCACGGCTAGCGTCGATTCTTGAATCGTAACTTTTGCCATTTTGCCTTTGTTGTGAAATTAATGATCGTCCGTCTTTAAGATCGGAAGCAAAACAACAACAACAACAACAACTCACAGCCCGAAACACCTCGAAACACTTTGACACAGGAGTCACACACAAGGTGACTGAGCAGCAGAAGGACATGCTGACATTAGCCACATGCTAACGGGCCGTAGACCCACTAACTCATTACACAATTTATATAATTCAAATTGATTCGATTCTCATTCACTGTGATCATTTGCTCGTAGGTTTATAAAATATATTTAGCATTAATGGTTAAAATGTTAAATAGACATCATCGAAAACAGACAAGGAGTTTGCAGTTTGTGCTCATTACCGTGATTTTAATGTTTTCATGTGTTATAAACTCTAAATGTTTTTAAAAGTCCTGAACAAGCAGGAAGTGTATTTGTCATCAGCTCATCAGTCGTAGTGTTTCTCCATCATGTCCACCGTGTGCTCGTGATTCCTTATGTTTTCTCTGCTTCCCCATCAGCTGCCTGTTGACATGAAGCACTGGGGTATTAAGCATATAGGCTTAAAGCTTGAGTTAGTTCTGCTTGGGAGGACATGGCTCACCAGGGTGGTTGAATGCATGTGAAGTCACTGAAGCAAAACAGCCTGGAGGAACCCTCGCTTGTCACTGTGTATTTGTCCCGGCTGCCAAAAAAAGCCCCCCGGCGGCATCATAATGTACATGTGAAGCTCCGTGGGGACAGAACCAAATGTTTACTGTCCATGTGGTTGTTACAGTTGATGAAGGAAACGACATGTTGGGGCAGAAAACCCTGTGATACAGGCACATTTGTTTACGTTGTAGTCTCTCGTTAGAGTCACTGCTAACTCCGTGTTGTCCACCAGCCACAGCTTAAGGCTTTTCTCCGCACACATTCATTTGTTGCATTATTCTCTGTGGTGAGTGATTTGAAGAAAGAGAAAATAGAAAGAAAAGCGGATGCTTTGCTGTGCAAATGGAATTATCACTTGGCATCTGTTTATGATACGATCTGGTTCATCATTTCACCATCTTCACTTTTTTTCTGTTCCCTGCTCACAGGTGACAGGAGAACGGTACTGCCGTGCCCAGCAGGAGGCACACCATGCCTCGCACACATACCTGTGTTTGCTGTCATCCACCAGAAGCCACCTGGCCCTGCACAACCTCTACCACGGCAAGGGAGAGCACAGCATTGAACAAGCGGCTGGCATGGTGGGGCTCAGGTTGCCCACCCAGCCTGGAGGTAAAGGCTGGGAGAAGTGAGGACGAGGGAGGATGCAATATCATTAAACTCTTTGGAAAAGACTTCATTCAGTCAAGTCCCAAAGGAAAAATGGAGAAGCCATCGTGGACTGTTTTGAGGGAGCACCTGTTGTGTTGTTCTGTAAATATAATGTTCTCTACCCCTTCACCACAACCTGCTTTTATTTGTGTTTCCTAATTGTTGAAGCATATTTTGAAAGCCAAAGGCAAACATGAAAAAAACTGTAAGTACACTGTCAATTAATTTTTCCCATTAAAGTATTAATCACTGCTCCTCTGTGTTTTTAAGAACTTGGTAACATGACATCACATAAACAAACATCCTGCTTGTTGATCTATTAAACTGGTAATTAAAGGCATGTACAGTAGGAATCACTGAGAATATTTAACCTGTTATTTAAAGATACAGCTGGTGGCCCAGTCTTCTTTAAGGTTTTTCCAGTTTTATGTAATAATGAGGATATTTATTTATAAAACAATGAAACAAAGCAACCAAACTCAAGCAATCATTAATGAAAAGAAGCCAAATATAAGAATATAACATATAATCTAATAAAATAAGGCTTACAAAATGATTGTTATGTCATTGTATAGAAATAGGTTTTCAGAGTCGGATCTCATTCAGAAGTTTGTTCCACTACACGTGTATTCCACCTCTTAGGTTCACGCTGCTGACAGTTTGTCTCCTTTTTAATCTGCTCATAAAAACACATACATCATTAAGTTAAAAAGTAATGTCAATAACACTTTTGCCAGCTATTAACAGAAAGAGTTGAAGAATGGTCTCAAGGCAGATTCCTGAGGCACAAATATCCAGTGTGTAGTTGTCCTGTGCACCTGTGGCAACATCAAATAATAAGACGAAGAGGAAGAGTCTCTCACCAACACAGCAAACGTTTTCATCCCACTTTTTTCTCCATTAAATCTCCTCTCCCTGTTTGCTCCTACTCTCCAGTGGTGACTAAGGTTGCCTTCAGTGGGAATTTAAATAGACTAACCCTAAAGCGAAGCAACGCACAGTGACACGGGGAGTAAGAAGAGCACCCGTGCACTGCTCCAAACCAACACACGTGCACACACACACACACACACACAACCCTGGATAAAAAGCCCAATGCATCCTGACAAACCAACAGCTTGTGTCCAGATTTATGTTATGCAAAATGCAGAATGGAAACAAGCCTCTGCACACCACTGGATCCTGGATCAGACAGACATGACAAACAGAATGAGGCTGACATTTAAGTGCTTTGCTCTGTTTGAGGGAGATTTGAAAGTGGTGACTTTACACTTAAGTGATGTCACTAAGGGGCAATAAGCTGCGGGGAAAGGACGCCGTCATCTCGATGCTCAGCTTTTGATGAACTTAAACGTGTATGAGTGAAAGGTGGTGACATAAGTGAGCGTCAAGCTGCGAGGAGGGAAACCTAAGAGAAGAGGAGGAGGGCGGAGACAGTCCACCCGTCAGAGTGGAGGCTGATTTCTTCTTTCCTTTCCGAAGGGGCGAGGAGTCAGCATCTCTAATTTCTGTCTCCCGATAAGAGGAGAGAGAGAAAACACGCTCTTTCCTCGAGGACACTTTGCTCTCTGGAGCATTTGGCTGCAAGTCGTTCATCGAGGTCCCGTCAGGAGTTGGACCAGCCAGCGAGGGAGACGTCCAAAGCGCAAAAAAAAAAAAAAAAAGGCACAAGGACGCACGGGAGGACAGTAAACCAGAGGCGCGAGGAGAGGAGAGGTGACCCGGCCGAGGCGACATGTTTGGCATGATCAAGAACTCGCTCTTCGGAAACACCGAGGAGACTGAATACAAGCTGCTGAGCTCTGAGACGAAGGTGGGTGAGGACACACACGACTTTCTCATCTTTTGAAGTATTGTCTGTCCAATACGCACCTCTCCAGGTCATGTCATGTGTAGCTGTGTTTACGCACAGTAATCCTGCAGAACTGTAAAGGTGCATGAATATTTCATCCAGCACTCAACACTAAGTAGGTTATTTTAGGGGAATTCTGTTTAAAATGATCCTGTTTTCCTTCACTTCCCTTGTAACCTTGACTGCGAGGCCAGGCAGTTAATTGCCTGTGACCTATAAGGACGCCTGCCAAGCCCCAGTGAGGGGGGACAACGTGTCAAAGCAGCCTGGGGTCTCCTGCCAATCAACGAGGCAGAGATTCACAAAGATGGTGATGAGTTTGGTATTAACGTTTCACCAATAATAAAAATACACACTCATAAAATCAGAAGAAGCTTTTTATCAACCTCTGTTCACAAAGCTTTGGGTCACTTTTTACATTATAACATCCTGGACGTGTGCATGTGAAATATAGCTGGTGTGTGTGTGTGTGTGTG